AAAGTGACAAGAATGAAGGGATAAATATGTTTGAAGCAGAGAATATTTTGAGGGGGATTCATGGCAATGCACCTTTTAGTGTAACCGTTTTTTGGGTTTTTTGGGTTTTTTTTTTTTTTTTTTGGCGGAATCGGGATTGAACTCAGGCCCTTGCGCTTGCCAGGGAAGCGCTTATTCCACTGAGCCATCTTCCCAACCCCAGTGTAACCGTTTTTAAAAATTTAAATATTTTTCTTTCTTTTTCTTTCTTTTTTGGTACTGGGAATCAAACTCAGGACCTTGAGCTTCCCAGGCAGGTGCTATGGGAGTGGACAGCTGCATCTATATGCAAAACAAGGTTACTGGGAGAGCAATCGAGGGCTGAGGACAACAGGGCTGTCCAGCAGGAAGGGTGCTCAAAACCGGCAGAGTCTGGTGTAAATCCGGAAGGAGTGGGGAGGGGCCCGAAGGTGACAGGTAACCTCTGAGGACCATGCTGGGTGCAGGACACTCCCTCTGCTCAAGCTTCACAGCCCAGGCCTGAAGGAGCATCAAGGAATTTGAGTTGGCAGCTGTTGGGGACAGAAGGGGACAGACATCCAGCCCCTGTGGGGAGGGCACAGGGAAGTCGGCATCGGCGGGCCAACGCTGGGGAAGGCAGCACGTGGGGGACAGTTATAGGGCTTTCGCTGATGGTGGCTCTTGGGCTGGAGGGTCTGGGGTGTGGGCTGGGTGTGAGGTTGATTCAGTTTTAGGGATTTGTGAGACTTCGTAGAAAAGCTGAACATGCTGGGGGCGGCAGTGCATACGTGTAACCCCAGCACTGAGGGAGGCTGAGGCAGAAAAGTCCCAAATTCAAGGGCAGACTAGGTAAATTCAGTAGCAAGACTTTGTCTCAAAATAAAGATATAAGGCTGGGTATTGTGGTGCACACTCGTGATCCCAGTATTCCAGGGGCTGAGGCAGGAGGATCGCTATTTCTGAGGACAACCTGGATTACATAGTTAGCTCAAAGCCAGCCTGTTTAGAGTGAGATTACAAAATCACAATCAGTATTGACCTTCCTATGCCAGTATTTAAAAAAAAATTGGGGGAAAACTTTTTTCAAGTTTGTTTGTTAGTAAATGCTTGTACTACCTAAAGATGACATTCTTCATGGGGATTGGTATGTGTATATAATCTTTTTTTTTTTTTTTTCCCCCTTTTTTTTGTGTTTTTGACACAGGATCTCACTGTGTAGTTCAGGCTGGCCTTGAACTCACTATAGCCCAGGCTGGCCCCAAACTCAGAGAGCCTCCTGCCTCGGCACCCCAAGTGCTGGGAACAGGTATGCACTACCACCCCCAGCCTTGATATTATTTCTTTGCAACCGTGGAGGTGTTCGGAAAGTCTTTGCCCATGCTGGTCTTCAAAACTTTTACCTAGGGCCGGGGAGATGGCTCAGTGGAGTAAGTGCTTCCCTGGCAAGCGCAAGGACCTGAGTTTAATCCCCGGTTCCGCAAAAACAAAACAAAACAAAAAAAAAAACACCTTTTACCTGTTTTGTTTTCCAGTAGTTTAAATATTTCTGTTTTAACATTTAAATTTTCGATTCATTTTTATTTTAGCTTAGTGCATGATGAGAGATACAGTGTAGGTTCAAACTTTGGCACGTAGGAAGCCAGTTTTCCTAGCACTATTTGTTAAAGAGGTTCTCTTTCCTCCAGCAAAAATATTTGGTTCCTCACATGGCTGTGGTGGTGCAGGCCTGTAATTCCACACTGCTCCAGAGGCTGAGGCAGGAAGATTGCCAAGTCTGAGATTCTATCTTAAAAAAGAAAGGAAAGAAGAAAGGAAGGAAGGAAGCAAGCAAGCAAGCAAGCAAGCAAACACTTGTCAAAGATAAATTAGCCGAATGTGTCTAGAGTTGTTTCAGCATTGTCTACTGTGTTTTACAGATCCACAAGTCTGCTCTTTTTTGTCCATATCATGCTGCTTTGTTTTTTGTTTTTGGTACCAGGGATCGAATTCAGGACCTTTTGCTTGCCAGAAAGGCAGTTATGCTACTGAGCTATCTCCCCAGCCTAATCATGCTTTTTTTTTTTTTTTTTAAATCTGGGTTGTAAAAGTCTAGGACTATGATGTCTCTTGTCTTGCCCTTGTTGTTCGAAATTGCTTTGCTATTGTGGATCTCTTCTGGTTCCATATGAATTTTAGGATTGCTTGTTCCAGTGCTGCAAAGAGTGCTATTGCTATTTTGATTGGAATTGTGTCAAATCTGTGTAACAGCTGTA